TTTAATCCTATGAATTCAGGTAGGAACTCAGCTGGTAGTGCACAAGACTGGGATGGAGAGCCCTGTTTGGTGAGACTCCCTTCCACTGGCGCTGGAAAGCCAGCCACAAGGCTGGCAGACCAATGCTATTAATCACTGGGGAAGCAATGATTGAACAGTTTAATTGCTCAATACCCTGGCACTGGCCATACAGGATCCTGTCTACTGCAGAGCTCTACTGTGCTGTTGGGTCTGTATCTGGTCAACTACTCTTCATTACTTCTTTAAACTATAATATAAACACAAACTCTGATTTGCGTGAAACTCCATCCTCCAGCCATGCAGGATACAGATCCATGCATCTCTTTGGCTGGTATTGACCAACTATCTTTCTAGATAGGTCATGGCTGAGGAACTGCATCATCCTTCCTTCAGAGGAACTCTATATTCCTCTACAGCTGTTCCTATCTTGTCTGATGGTGACACAGCTCATTGTACTGAAAGAGTGTACAGATGCAGCAGCGATCTTTCCACCAGACTGAGCCAGCACAGCTGCGCCGCACCCATACTATGGCTCCTATGGCATAATCTCATCGGGTTCCACAGCTCCAACCTCCACCACCCAACCCACCACCACAAACAAGCTCCTCCTGTAGCACAAACAAGAAATTCTTACATTGGTAACCTGATTCTCTATCAGCAACAACACCAGATTCAAATGATGCAACTTGCCATGCAAATGCAGCAATTCCAACCAATACTGCCGGCTCCTTTCCAGCAACCTCCACCGAATGGTTGCTGTCACAAATACTGCCATTGGTTGATACACAGGAGAGGAAGACCACCACATGATAGATCTTGCCAAGCTAGATGGAATGGATATTCTGCTGGGTAGCAACAACAAAGATTGAGATACATAACTTTCATATCTAATTTAGCCAGTAACTTACATATCATTGCCAATGAAATCAACAACCATAGTCTCACTCTTCATCTGAGTCAATGCCAATGAAATCAACAACCATAGTCTCACTCATCTCAGCCAATTCCTGGAAGGAAATATTCTTCTTGTAAATGTTCTTCTTGTAGTCATACCAGTGGCAACAATAATAATGCCAAGCATCCATATAAAACTGTCCTTCAAGGGAGGACACCTCATAGCTCTCACTGACCCTTTCCCTCACTAACCAGTAGATGCACTCAATGAAGATGTCCTTCCTTTCACAGGGATGTGGCGACTCCAGCATTTCATAAAGCGTGGAGAGAACAGCTCTGTACCATTTTGGACTGTTCTGAAGGCCTGAAGCTAACATGTAATCCATGATGTCGGTCATGGCAAGAGGAAGTGGCTTGCATGCTCCTTGCAATATCAACTCCTCAAGAACCGTCACTTCCATGCTGGTTGTGGCCAAACCGAAGTTATCCTCCTCATCACTGTTGTACCCACAAATGACATACTTGCAAATGAATCCTTGCCTTGTACCTCAGCTCATTGAATGGTTATCTGTTGACACTTTGCAGCCACTCGGAGAAGGCGGGAGAAGTAGCTGTGATCCTCATGGTCAGAGATGCTTGTTGTTGGTGTTGATTTTCGCTGGATCGAGCTCCTCTCTCGCGAAATTCCTCTTGCCAGGTGTCTTGCCCCTACCGAAGTAGTCGCTGACTTCAAGACAAGAAGACTAGCCAAGCAATCAATGGAGTAGTGCTCGTTGTTGTCAAGGTCGGTCGCTCTGCTGCTGCTGCTGTTGACTTGTTGCTGTCGTTGCTGTTGTTGCTGCAAATCGGAGGAATGGAGCGAGCGAGAAAGCAATGGTGGGAGCGAGCGATCGATCTATATTGGAGGAGCCGAGCGACCGAGAAACAATGTTAGATAATAGTAATAGCAGTAGCAGATAACAGTAATAGCACCGATTGATTCCTCATTGTCAACCTTTCTCTTACCTTATCGACAACAACAACAATTACAACAACAACGACGACGACGACCACAACAGCAATCCGGAGATTTGAATTATGGGAAGGTTCGGTGCAAGCGAGGGAATGGGAAAGAGCGAGCCAGAAGAGAGTATCCGTTGATCGAACAAATCCATTCAAATCTGGAGTCAGTGCGAGACCAACGATAAAAGACGTCTTCTGTGACGTATTTCCTGACACTTACACTGTTCTTCCGACACGTCGGAGTGGGGAGATGTCCATTTTATATATAGTAATGATACAGTCATTGCCTGATCCCCCTCCAACTATAAGTATGCAATCTTGTTTCAGTGTCTCCGAATGACTCCTTTCGACACTGTTCTTTGGCCGGCATGCTTTCGAATTGGAATCGGGAGTTTAACCCTCTCCCTTTTTTTCTTTCTTTTCTTTTTCCCTCCCCCGCGCTGCTGCCTAACCCCCCCATAAAGTCCCGAGCTAGTGCTTGGTACTCTAAGGCTTTTGCGCAAGTCTATGACGGGGAAGCCTTATTTCCAGCGAATAGCGACTACATATATATGGTGAGTGTTCCTCCAGTGATGGATTAAGGCGGCATCACACTGCGGACTGAGCCCAACCAAGTGAAAGGATGAATCCAACTAACTTATTACAGGTAGCAAGGGGACGAGAAGTGCTGGCTCCCCACGATACCGGCCTCATCGCGCTCTCTCAGCCGGGGGAACCTGCAGCCACACTGTCGGAGCTACATGTACGTCGGTGCCATTTCAAACAAAATTACATGTATGGTGCTCCCACACAGAAAGTTGCAGACCGAGTCGAGTCAGCGCTTGATACTGTAATACTTTTGCGAAAGTCCATGTCGGGGAAGCCTTATTTCCAGTCAAGCATCCAAGGACAGCCATGGCCAATGCAAGGCAGGCGGAGGGGATGAGGGCCTTCCAGAAAATCTTCACGTTCAGTCGTTGAAGACGAGGCAAGGCGGAAGCTTGAAAATGGACGCAGCAAGGAAGTGAATTAAAGCTCCATAACTGAAGCGCCTACAACTTAGGGACTCTACTGGCAACAGCTCTGGCAACCTTGAATATACCAGTACCTCCACCGCACTCAAAAGATTGTCAGAAGAAAAGCCAAAAGAGGCTCCAAGGCTCCAAGCAAGCGTCAGCAAGCAGCCTCGCTCTTGCCGCTCGGAACAATCTCGAACTGTCTCTTGCATCAAAACATTGAGTCACAAGTGCCCAGTCATCCTACAGTCGTATCATCCCGAGTGATCTTGTGCTGGGTTAGCCACTGGCTAGATTTTAGTAGGATTCGTAGTACATAGTCCAAGGTGAGGCATCAATAATGACCTTCTTTGAAGATGAGTACATGTAAAGCGTAAACATTGTACAGCCAACCCACCGTCTCAAAAAAGAACGAACGCTCTTTAAATCTCCAAGCAGAACAGGATGCTGTTTCTGCTTCTGTTCCTGCCTCCAAGCAGAATTTGAAAGTCGGTGGTCAATCAAACATGCTGGGCCCAATCTCCGTTTTGCGACCCAGCTTCTTCAGCCTTCGTGGAAATAGCTGTGGAAATCATGGAGGGTGGAGGGCATCAAGCAATCCGACACAGATCTCACAATACAACACTTCTTTGATAATAAAACCGCAAGCCTCCAACCACCACAGCATGAAGCTACCATTTATGAGAAAAAAGTCTGTGGACGAGACTGCAAAACAGGATGAAGAAGTTGGAGGATCTTTGAGAGTGTCCAGTTTGAGGACGGAGGAATCTCCCAAGGGGCGGCCACGACGAAACTCTGACAGTCATGCCAACCTCTTGCCGTTAGAGGAAGCAGGCAGCGGCAGCAGTCTGGAACAACTACCAGAGCGTTTGCCTACCGAAAAGGAAATCAAAAAGGCCATGGCAAACATGACACAAGATGAGATTTTGTCCGTCATGGAGCAGTTCGCCAAACACCAGGGGGATCCCAAAAAGATTGGATTGGAGTGTTGGAAGACCATGCAAGCAAGGAACCAAGGAAAGAAACAGTCCTCCAAGGAAAAAAAGATGAGAAAGGCAAAGTCCCTGGCCGCTGATAGTCCCAGAAAGAGTCCATCCGCTGATAATAAGCAGCGAAGAAGTCGAAAGAACCGAAGTGGAAAAGCCCCGAACGCGGCAGGTGTGGCCTTGCAACGATCCGCGACAATGCCTGCTTCTGCTTGAGATAATATCAGGTTGATCTGAGCGGCCCAAATAGCTAGCAACCAAAACGCAGACTCGACTCGAATCAGGGACTGTGCTCAAATGCCTTGAGAGAGAGCTTGGGGAGCTTCTATTGGATGGACAACTTCTCTCACCTGTCTCAATGGCACAGCAGCAATATATCATAGATAAGATAAGAAAGCAAGTATATTACATTCTTACGAATAACATAGCTTCATAAAAGTTTAGCTGCACGATATCCGGTGCTAGTAGGCTTCACTTAGGATTGAAATTGCTAACAAAATTCAAACAGTGATATTGCGATATTGCTCCGGGTATACTGCAGCGTCAGTCAAAGATAGATAAGAACATCGAACCTACCGTATCGGTACATGTACCTAACGACAATTCCTGCGCAGAATTGCGCAAAGGAGAAGAGGATGAGTACTACATGTAAGCTGGGATGCCAGAAGGTCCATGAAGGGGAGTGCGGCCCAGAAATGTACCTGGTGTTGAATGTTCAGCCATTGGGAGGAGTAAGAGTTTGTCCCAGATGGGGGGTTCTGGAGTGAGGCCATGGCATTGCACCAGGAAATGAAGCTTGTCTGGTGGGGTCTGGAGATGGGCTTTGTACATGTATTTGGACCTGGCTGGAGTGTGCCCAAGAGTTGCTCCAGAAGTGGAGACTTGCTTGCTTTGGTGTTGTTGAGGTGGGTGTGGATTGAGATGCTGGACACCCCGACACCCTGACCCAAGTGATGGTCCAGGCACTGGCAGGTGTACGTGTCCCGGAATTGGCCAAATGGGCTCTAGTAGCTAGGATCTGGTGCTAGCTAGTCTAGCTAGGAGTATGGCCTGTGATAAATAGGGCTAGGTGCCGATGCAGGTTAACCTGGAATGGAACCTTGGTGACGATGCAGCAGAGGCGACATGGAGTGCAGAAGTTGGACATGCGATTTTTTGGACCTCCCATGATGGGACCTAGCTAGTAGCCAGATAGCAAGGGTGGGTTCATGAGTGGGGCCTGGATAGGGACCAGACCTGTGGTGGCCGTGGAAATCAATTCCAGGGAGGCCATGCAGTTTAGCCCAAGGTTATTGGTCCAGATTTTGGTGACATCTCAAGCTTGGCCTGGAAGGAGAGTTGAAGGGAGGTTGTTTGATGCTTGGCCGCCTTATCATTCTATCAAATAATGGAGACTCCACACTTGGGAATTGGGAAGCCCTCCGCCGATGCTTCCTTCCATAGGCAAACATGTGAAAGGTGTGGTTCAGTAGAAAGAAGAGTTTCCGCTTGAGCCCGGCGCCCCATTTGAAGGGATTGCTATCGAGCAAGTGCCTTTGCTACATATCCAGCACTTTCCAGATAGCAAAACCTATTGCCTTCAGCTTCTTTTAAAGCTGAACATTGTTGGAGCATTGCAGCATTGGTGTCGCTTGCCTCTTGCCTGCATAGAGCAAGGAACCGTTGCCGTACGGTAGCCGTTGACGTTGAACTGAAGGCTGAAGGCTGTACGGCTGTACCGCTACTGTACATACTTCACAGGCATTACCCGAGTACCGATACTTATCAATTTGGTTTCCTGTCACTCAATTGTTAAAGGGCTTGTTGAACATGCAGTCATAAAGAACACAACAAAACCCTTTTCCCCTTTCTCTCCACGTGAAGAATGTCAACATACATGTCAACCACCGAGTCGTACGAACTGTGTAGAAACATCCTGAACCTTCATCGCCGCATCTTGAGAGCAGGTGAGCAGTTTGCGGGGAACACAAAACCACAAAATCAAAAATCAGCTAAAACATCACAACTTCTGAAGCCAAACTCCCAGCTAGCTAAAATTCTCTGCTTCCTTAACCAAACAATCAAAAAGTTTGTGCAACATGGGCAATGTCAACAGCCACGCCAATAGTGATGCCATTGTGGAAGCCGTTCGAGCTGAATCTAAGGGACGTGGAGAAAGAACTTCGCGGGCGAACCGAAGACGCGTTGACGGCTCCTCGAACCTAACCAAAGAGGAGATTGCAGAGGTGATGAGCAAGATGAGTCCAGAAGAGATTCTGGCTGCCTTGGAGAAGTTTGCACGGGACGATGATGCAAAGATGTACATGGAATGTTGGGAAGCCATGAAAGAGCATAATACAAGTGGCAAGGCACTGAGGCGTACTAGAACCGAGGGCGACAGTTCACGCCGTCGTCAAAAGGGCGAGAAAAAGACGTACAGACGATGCGTGACCGAAGATAGGACCACACAATCTGCTTGCAATGCTGCTGCATAAGTGTGCCAAGGAGGACGGAATATTTACCATTACCAGGTAGCTATAGCTTAATAATAGCATTTACATAGATTGGATCATTCAAGAGAGTAACCATTATGCCAAGAAGCGAACGAAGCCGAAGCAGGATGGGTGGTTGCCGTAGTCCTGTAGACTTGATTGCTATTTGATGGTCTAGCTAGCTAGCTAGCCAGGGCGAGTCCTCCATTGACTCCATGTACAATGCCACTCGGGATATGATGGCCGATGCCTCTCTCCCCCCCTCTATGGCAGGACTACACCCCACCTCCCACCCGCTGGAGTTTGGACGAGCAACACTTCCCAAGTGTCAAAGCAACGTCTCTCCCGATCCCAACCTTCCACCCTCAAAGGCAATCGAGACCGGCCCATTTTGGCTGAGCTAGGGTGCCCGCAAATCGATCAAGTTCCCTTCGCCGCCGCTTACTGTGCTTTCCTCCATAAGACATGAGATTCCTGGGCGCGTGTTTGAGCGACTGAGCTCAACCAGCTGAGCGAATGGCCGCACAAACCTCCACTGGCTGGTCAGTTGCCTCCAGACAGCTAAAATAGGGCTAGTAGATGAGTGCCTGTCAAAGGCACCCTTCTTGAGCCATGGAGCTGGAAGACTGTAGCCACCGCCGACATGGCTGTACAGGAACTCGACCACCCTGCTAGGCACTTGGGGAGGTTTCTGGTTCGTCAATTCCGCGAAGAAGAAGGTAACCGAGCGAAAGCCCATGGATGACGACGAAGTTTCCAGGACAGAGAGATTTTGCCTGACCGGTAGCCTAGCTACGATTACAGCATTGCCGAGCTCTGATGGTGCCGTGCCCCCTAAAACTCTTGCGAACGGACCAGACAGAGATACACCAAGTTGTTGGCGCAAGATCATTGGAAAAAGAAGATGTCATCAGTTCAGACCAGCCCCGACAGTACCGGCACTTGATGCTATCGCACGGTTTTCTACAACAATGTACGGGAAAATGCATTGTTTGACGGTTGCCAGCAGGCACAAAAAACAGCAACGTGGTGCCCTTTTAGTTCATCCTTGTCGTGCTTAGTTATTCTGTGCAAAAACGGACAGAACACGAGAGCAACAAACAAACAATCCAGAGGAATGAGAGAGAAACTGCACAGCTCGTCGCATCGGAGCTTAGTATATTATTTTTGTGTTATTGCATAGAAGGTGTCAATTTTGCTGGGATCGTGGTTCCATTCATTGCAGTTTGTCAGCCAAGCAAGTAAAAGACAGAAATTCAGTACCATCGGATTTGATTCGATTTGCAAACTTAGGGGATGCCATTGACAACATTGAAAAAGTCAGCCTTGAGACTGGCTCCTCCAATGAGTCCTCCATCAATATCTGGCTGAGCCAGCAACTCCTTGGCATTGGCACCCTTCATGGATCCACCATACTGGATTCGCACAGCCTCGGCAACCTCGGGGGAAACATTTTCGGAAACCCAAGTACGGATGCTCTTGTGTGTTTCCTGGGCCATTTCTGGTGTTGCTGTCAATCCGGTTCCAATAGCCCAAACTGAAAAATTGAAAGAAAAAGTCCAAATAACAGACTTAGAAACAAACAAGCTCCAGAAATAAAAATAAAATTGACGAGTGACAATGGTTGCGTACCTGGTTCGTAGGCAATGGCGATGGATTCCCAATCCTTGGCTTCGATAGCCTTGGCCAATGGTGCCATCTGCTTGGCGCAAACTTCCATGGTTACACCGGATTCTCGCTCTTCCTTCTTTTCTCCAATGCAAAACATGACTTTGAGTCCATTTTTAATGGCAACCTTGGTTTTTTCGGCACAAAGCTCTACTGGTTCTCCAGCCATTCCAAATCCTTCACGACGCTCCGAGTGTCCAATAATGACCCAAGTGCAGCCAATATCTTTGATTTGGTGAGCTCCAACTTCACCAGTGTAGGCGCCATTTCCATCATTGCTACCGCAATCTTGAGCACCAACGGTGATTTCCTTTCGGACTTTGGAGAGAACCATGGGAATGTGAATGGAGGGGACGCACAAAGCGACATCTACATTTTCGGGGATGGCTCCAGCTTCATTGAACACCTTGATGCGCTCCTCATTCTCGGCAAGAGTGCCGTTGCACTTCCAGTTTCCAGCGATCAAATAGCGGCGGCTGCGAAAAAGGGGGAACGTTGACGGTGAGGGATCAGCGGTTCGCAATCAAACAGATAAAGGGCAAAACAACTCTGCCGCAACGAGGAATACCTCCAATTCCTTACCCCATGGTTCAAGTTTTCTAGAATAATTCAACAGTAAAAATAATGTGGTCGAGATCAGTAGTCAGCGGATGGATTAGCGACAGGAAGATTGTCAGCATGCGAAGGCAACGTGCGATGCAATTGATTGGATGTGAGTTGACTCAAATCTTGGTTCTTGGTGTCTGTTGAAGGCGAACAGATGATGCTGTGCCATAGATGTGGTGGGCGAAAAGATCGGGAATGCAAACGTCATGACGAGGCGTCACTGACGTCATGATATAACCGTCAGGCCAAAAGATACCAGTACGGCTGGAGACACCTTGTCCCTAACTAAAATAGACAAAAGATAACGCAGAATTGAAGTGTGGGGCGGGTAAATATTTGTTGTACCCACACCAGCTACATATATGGATGATAAAATGTCACAGCCTCGAAGCTAGCTAGACACTTGGAAGCATTACGGTATCGTTCATAGATTCAGTGCCTTGTTGGCATCGAGCATTCTGCGCTCACTGGTGAGATTTCTGCTTGCGTACTCGACTCGACTCAGTCCAAAGTTCATACATGATGGTAGAAAACAACGATAGAAGTCATTTCTACTAGATTGACCTTTTTGCTGTCATCGTTATCTATCATATCAGTCAGTGCCTTGAACCCACTCTGGCAGAGCGTCAATCATGACTGCCGTTTGCTCTCCAGATTCCAAATCTTTGACCGAGACTTGACCATTTTCATACTCATCGGGTGCCACAATTACACAGTACTTTGCTCCAATGCGATCCGAGTGCTTGAAGACCCATTTTGGTTTCTTTTGTTCTAAAACAACATCGACACTTTGTCCGTTTTCCCGTAGCGTAGTCGCCACACCCAAAGCCACTTTATAGAGGTCTTGGTTCATTGCAAAAATCACCGTATCGGTACCAGAGCTTTCAAAGGAAGGCAGGACATTTCGTTCTTTGAGCAGTTCCACAATGACGGCATCTCCAAATCCAAAGCCAGCTGCTGGCGTGGGATCCCCACCAAATGTTTCCAACAGTTTATCGTACCGGCCACCGCCAGCAATGGCTCGTAGCACTCCTTTCCGATCAAAGGCCTCGAACACAATTCCAGTGTAATACGCCAAACCTCGAATGACAGAGGCATCAATGAGAATCCAGTCGTCAATGCCGTAGGCTTCACAAAGCTCCACCAGCTTTTTCAATTCCTGAATGGCTTCCGAGTCAGGACCAAGAGTTTCTTCCAATCCTTCAATGGAGTTGTTGGTTAGTACTTGTGTCAACTGTTCAATGACGGATCGATCCAATCCAAGTTCTTCCAAATCTCCTTGAATGGCATCCAATGGAACCTTTTCCAATTTGTCAATCAAAACACAAGTGGCGGCAAACTTGTCTTCGGGAATTCCCAATTCGGTCAACACTTCGGCAATCACCAGTCTCGAGTTGACCTTGATACCAACATCCTCACTGGTCAAACCAACTCGTTTGAAAAATGCCACCATGGCCGAGAGTAAATCTGCTTCTGCCTCGACACCGGCTATACCCCAAATATCCATATTCCATTGAAAATGTTCTCGTCTTCGTCCTCGTGTCATGCGTTCGTAGCGCCAGCATTGCGGGATGGAGAACCATTTGAGAGGGAGTGGCAATCCTCCCTTTTTGGCCATGACCATGCGAGCCAAGGAGGGTGTCATTTCGGGTCGCAGCGCCACGGCCCGATCCCCCTTGTCGACAAAATTGTACAATTGTTGTGTGACTTCTTCTCCTGCCTTGCGGGTGTACAAGGATTCACTCTCCAACACGGGAGCATCGTATTCCAGAAAACTATAGGTCTTGGCCACGGCACGCCATTGATCAAAGAGCCACGTTCGTAATCGCATATCTTCGGGGTAAAAATCGCGAGTACCCTTGGGTGGGTTCGTGTCCAATTTGACGACGGGCTTCGTCTTGCCCTTTTTGGACGATTTGGCAATAGTATCCTTGTCTTGGACTGCCGAGGAGACGCGGCCACCACCGGCATTCATGTAAAGCGACCCTGTAGCAGTGGCAATGGATCTTCTTGCTGACAGTAGAGAAGAAGATGATGAAAATGAAAATGACATGGTTGCTTGGGGCGATCGACTGGCCACAAGAAGACAGAACATCATGATGGATGGAACCGACTTCAATCCTTGCTTCGTCATTCTATTCGTCTGGATGGCTCTTTGGAAACAGGAATCGACTCGTCGCTCTTCTCTTTTTTTCTTCTTGCGTATTAAAACCTCTATTGACCAGCAACCAAAGCATATACGGTACCTTTAGGGAAGCGAACAGCAGAAGAAACTAACCCAAGAGGAGGCAACAACTTCCACCTGTTGCTTGTTGCTCGTTGTTGAGGTTTGAAGGAGGAGAGAAAGAATGAGCGGCTGCAATGAGTCACTGGGTATAAATTGCGTCAGACCAAAAACGTCACAAAAGTTAGCAGAAAGTATCCACGTTTCAGGGATTGATAAACCCAAATGCAACCCAAATGAAGACGCACAGGACGCTTCTCCAGGATCTACGAGGTCAGCATCCACCCCCCAAACAAATGGACCAACTCCAGGCCCTGCAATGGGTTCATCTCCAGGCTCCACTTCTTGATCCACTTCTGGATCCACATTTTCCAGTTTGTTTGCCTAGCTAGCTAGCGATATCTCTAACCCGGTCCCCAATTCAGGATCAAGGCTCAGCCCCACGACAGGATCTACCAATGGTCCATATTCAGACCCCACTCCTGGTCCCACACGTGCGTGGACCTTATGGATGGGTGAAGTCCTCTTCTTTACTCTACTAGAGAGGAGATTATCATTGCTTGCTACTAGTAATAAATTGATGAATTGATATACTGGTAGGCCCAGTTTGGGGGCGGGGGAGAAAAACTATATCGAAACCCCATTATTTCGTTTTGACTGCATGTTGAATCATCCGTCGCATATCTCATCCCAACCAAGGCTGAGATGCTGCCACAAAATACATTGTCAGCAACAAAAGCGCTAACACCAGTCTACATTTCACAAAAACTGAAAAAGCTTATTGTCGTCGACTACCTCCGCCGACAAGAAATCCCACCAAGGCGGCCACTCCCGCCACAGCTGTGAGTGTGGCAATTTGGTTCCTGTCGATCGAGGAAGACGAAGAAGCAGCCTCCTTATCCATTTTCTTTCTCTTCTTTTTCTCCTTCTTGCTACTGGCTGTCGATTTCACAACTGTGGTTTCCTCCGATGGTGCCGACTGGGACTTGTTCTGTGGTGCATTGTTGTCGGTTTGCTGTTCGGTATTCGTCGATGTGGTGTACGACGCAACGGACGCCAAGGCCGCGGCGATGCCACCTGCCGCGGCCTTTTGTTTGCTGGTCCCTGACACAGACTCGGTTTCACTGTCTGTTGTTGTATCACTGGATGAGGCCGCCGCTGCTGCTGCTTCCTCTTCCGCCTTTTTCTTCTTTTTCAGTTTCTTCAGTTTCTTCTTGACTTTTTTCATTTTCGCCTTTTCGGCTTCTTGATGTTGCTGCATTTGTTCTTCAATGGTAATTCGTTGTTTTTCCAATCCCTCCTCGGTTCCGTAGTATTTTCGGTCAATGGCATGATGTCGTTTGACATCTCCTTTTCCACCACGCAGTAACTGTTTCAGCCGCTCTTCTTGTGCGGCATCACTTCCCGGATTCTTAATGGCAGCCATGTAGACCTCGCTCATTTGCTGTCTTCGACTTTCGACTTCCTTGATTTCCTTGCCGTACTTGTCCCGTAGTTTCCGTTCCAAGGCTTCTTCGTCGTGACCGTACGTCACCACCCATCCGGCTGTTGTGTGTAGTCAGTACAATACAAACATACACAAAATTCAGGACAAGAACAACATCCAGATGAGTGAGTATTACGTATGATACATCGACGACTTGACTGATTTTTTTGGTTCGACGTACCAAAGGCAGCGATGGGAACCATGACCAGGCCATACAAAAGGACTGGCAGTGGAGGCCCAGGGGGCTTGGGAACGGCCGACCGAGGCATGTTGGTGGGGTTAGGAGGCGCCATGGTCACCTCTCTCCGTAGATTTGGATGGTTATGGAAATTGGCGGTTGTCTTTGCCTTCGTCGTTCCTCGGGTCTGTTGGAAAAGTAACATGCTCGGGAGTCGAACCCTCAGACCATGTCAGCTACCAAGTGTGAATTTTACCCTTCTAACACCCTCCCAGAATTCTCAGCTTGGGAGTGGCTGTTATCCTATGCACTCATACCATGGAGCTACACTTCACTAGTGGACCCTCCCATGTTCTCTTATCTGTCTCATCAGAGCTGGACCACACTCTGCCTGTTGACCACTCATCACACTCCTCAGCAGCAGCTGCACATGACGTCTCCAGGGTCATCCGGATAATGTTACCATGTTGGAAAAGTAACATGCTCGGGAGTCGAACCCTCAGACCATGTCAGCTACCAAGTGTGAATTTTACCCTTCTAACACAGGTGTACGAGGAACGAGGACAATGGTCGTCTAGATGATGCAACTACAAAGGTTAGGAAGTTAGGTCGAAGAGATGAATGCAAGGAGCGACGGGATGGAGCAAATGAATGGACGGATTGAAGGTCCATAGGTTAGTAAAGTGGGAAAGCCCTCCAGGGCCAACCATGCACTTCAGGAAGATAGATCGACGAGATCTATCTGTAGATGAAACTGCGAGAAGCAAGAGGATCGAAAGATCCTGGTATATGTATGCATATCGGACTCAGTTGTAGAGCTCACCATCTGAACGAGAGAGAAAGAGAAACAAACGAATAGCCAGTCTACTAGACAGTAGAGCTGGAAGGATATTGATTAAATTAGAGAAATTGTGCGTTCAAGTTCACCTTTTCAACACGTTTAAAACGATAGCTATCAGGAAGAGTGAGCTTGGATCCAGGTTGTCAAACAGAAGAAAGAAGAATTGAGAAGTAAGTAAAGATGTCTACGGAGGTAGAGGTATTATCGTCGAGCAAGTATCCCATCTTCGATGGGAAAGATGAGAATTCAGGTTCTACAAGGTCAAGATGATGGCCCATTTATCGAAGTATGGGTACGTAGAACTGATGAAAGACTCTACGGAGATCAAACCGGACAACTGGGAAAACCCTAACAGGTACGGGCAAGTTGTCGGAACGACGAAGTAGAAAAGAGATTGAAAAGTCTGCAGTAGAGAGAACAGCAAGGCTGCTGGAATACTGCTGGATTCGATCAATGTGGAGAACATCGAAGGGCAAGTCGCCTTCGACCTACTGGGCTCACACACAAACGACTGACCTGCTGCTGGGAATTCAAAGGCATTGTGGGAGTCCATGCTGGACCTCTACGTGCTGAAGACAGTGGTGAGGTAGGAGCTCAACGAACGGAATACTACGCGAAAAGATGGACATACAAGGAGAAACCAAAGAAGTTCGGAGATTGGACTCGA